GTTGGAAGGGGAAGGCAAGACAGCGACCAAGGACCTCCTTTTACATGGCTAGAGCCGTATCTGGTAAGACTGTCATAAAACGTCTACTACCAAACATTTGTGGAAAGCTAAGAGTCGCCAATACTTTGAGAGCCATTTAGTCTGTATATATGAAATACATGACATTTGCTCACCTTGTATAAATTAAAATATAACAAGTGAAAGGTAGCAATTTTAATTTTTATAAAAATTACCTATTAAAATATTTTCCAAATATCTACATAGTCATTCAGACATTTCTAATTTTATGATTTAAGCTTAGCACCACCTTTTCATTCACAAGCTAACACTGTCCTTTCTGTAGTGCATTGTGTCAACATAATCAACTGATATGAAACTTTGATCAAACCCAAAAGCTGAAAATACTTTATACAGGACACTGTTTAATATATTGGCATATACCACATTCACCAGTAAAGATTTTCATCTTTTTTGGTAAGATAATTATTTAATATTTCCTAATAGTTATTAAGGATTTATGAATCATTTACAGCAAAATGATGAAAAGGTTATCTTATTGATCATGTATATGTATATATATATATATTTAGAAGGCTTTTATTTAATATATATAAATTTCATGTGTACAGCTTTTGGAATACAGCAGTTCTTCCCCCCACACTCGCCTTCCCACTCCCACTCCCGTCCCACCTTCTATTCCCTCTCCCATTATATTCTTCATTAAGGTTAATTTTTAGTGATTTTTATATACAAAAGATCAACTCTATACTAGGTAAATATATTAACAGTTTGCACCCACACAGACACACGAAGTATAAAGTACTGTTTGAAGACAAGTTTTACCATTAATTCTCATAGTAGAGTTCATTAAGGACAGAGGTCCTACATGTGGAGCAAGTGCACAGTGACTCCTGTTGTTGATTTAACAATATTGCTCGTATATATTAAATAAAGCCTGCCATTAATCTCAGGTGGTAAAAGTAACAGGTAAGAAATGATATGAATTGAAATTTTACTCCTAAAGGAATGCTTCACAATGAGGCTAACTGCACAATGCTCATGTATGGGCATAACTGCAGCGGTATTCACAAAATTAGAGATTACAGCCAAGGTCACTTCCTAACATTTCCTTGATAAGTACGTCACTATTCTTGGGTTTATTCATGTTTAAATATAAATGCTCATGTTCTCAGATGGTCTTGTACTCATTTCTCCTTTTCATATTATAATACTGTGTACCATGTTATTTCTAAAAGGATGAAAAAGATATCCATTCACAGGGAAATAATTATATCAACAGACTGCTCTCCAAACTCCCAATTAACTGGCTGGACAAACGGGAAGAAAATATTACTTTAATCATTATGCCAAGAAATGCATAATGTTCCTATTTCCGTTATCATTACCAATGCAGTCTAATTTTTTGTTTCTAAATTTTTATCTTCTGACATGCTTAGTGATTGATTCAACTTGTTAGTAAATCATACATTATAATTTGATTCTTTAAAACTGTTTTTGAAGCCATCTTCTATTCTTAGCTCAGGGTAACATTAGCTAATACCATACAACTTCTACAGAATGAAAATTTCACACACTCCAGAAAATTCTCATCACCAGGCTAATGAATTGGCTTAATACTGGAAAGAACACTGTCATGACTGAAGTATTCAGAGATGGTTCTCAGGCAAGGCTTGGTCCAGGGGTTCAGTCCAGGGATCCCAAGGATTCAGATTCTCTAATTCGTGTTGGTCTAAATTCTGCAGTGGCACCTTCATATCAAACTCTTGTAGTTACTATGGAACAGAGTTAACGCTTCCTTTCCCCACAAAATTTTGTGAGCACTTATTGTCATTTGCATTATTTCTGATTGGAAATGGAAATAACTACCATGGCATGGAGGCTGATGACCATGGGGGCCATCCCTACACGTGTGAAAGAAATCAATTCTACCAGAATCTTACAGCTATCAAGACGTAGAAGTGTAGTTTCTTAAAAGAACACAGGGTATCATTCAGCAGAGAAAGTAGCCCAAACCCACCAGTGTCCTGGCCCACTCTCCTTTAATGAGCCTGTCTTCCATGCTACGGGAAGCTCTCAGGTAATTATACCTCACACACCACAATCTCACTTGCAAGCATCCTGCGTGCTGAGGGCTGTCTCTCTCTTAGTGTTAACAGTGTCTGTTACCAATAATCCAGCTCTCAGCTGATTCTGTTAACAGGTCCACAATCCTTGAATCTTGTTACCCTTTTGTTTCTCATATCTTGTGGCTTTCCTTCCCTTTCTTTATTTGCCTTCTATAGGAGATTATTATTGATAATCCTCTGTATAAATCTTTGACTTCATCACAATTCATCCTTTGTGGTAATGATCTGAGAAAATCTTCATCTTGATTAAATGCAGCTCTACTCCTATAATACACCTACACCTTCTCAGCCTAATATGGCTGGAGAACAGCACAACGCTGAATTATCTCATCTCAAATATATGCTGATTAAATCAAAACAACATAACAGAGTTCTGCAATAGATTTTTTTGTTCATTCGTTCTCTTGTTTTCCCTATCTTTTACAAAATTTTATCAATTTATTTGAGAGAAAAAAAAGCAGAGTCTGAGAGAGAGAGAGAGAGACAAGGAGAGAGAGAGAAAGCTTCCATCTCCTCATTCACTTTTCAAATGCTTGCAAATGGCCAGGGCTGGGCCAGGTTGAAACCAGGAGCCAGAAACACAGTTTATGTCTCCCACATGGGTGACAGGGAGTCCACGACCTGAATCATTACCTGCTATCTCGTGGGGTGTGCATTAGCAAAGAACCAGAATCAGGAACTGGATCTGACACTCAAACTCAGGCGCTCTGGTAGGGGATACAGGTGTCTCACCTGGCATCCTATCATTATGCCAGATGCCAGCTCCTCTCTAGGTTTCCTTCTGTGTAAAATTTTTCCTTCCATAAGCCTTTAACACTTTTCTCCCCCACCTCATGGACATGCATGATCAGTCTTCAATAAGTTCATGGAAAATGTACTACTATGAAAAAAAAACAAACATTTTTGCACCAAAATAATAGTTACCTAATTCCATTTTCCACAAACTTTTTGAAATTCTCTCATACTCCTATAATGTTTTGGTCCTTTTAAAACACTGGAATCAGGGGCAGCGCTGTAGCTCAGCGGGTTATATGCCTTGGCCTGAAGTGTGGACGCTGGTTCGAGACCCAGCTGCTCCACTTCTGATCCAGCTCTCTGCTATGGCCTGGGAAAGCAGTAGAAGATGGCCCAAGGTGCACCCATGTGGGAGACCTGGAAGAAGCTCCTGGCTCCTGGCTTCAAATTGGCATAGCTCCTGCTGTTGTGGCCAATTGAGAAGTGAACCAGTAGATGCAAGACATCTCTCTCTAGCTCTTTGCTTCTCCTCTCTCTGTGTAACTCTCAAATAAATAAATAAATCTTTAAAAAAACCCCACAGGAATCAATTATTTTTACGAAAATTTCAGTGACAAGTTTACTACTTTAAATAAACACCTTAAAGATCAGTTAGGATAAAAGTCAAAATCTTTCAATGGCCTTAATTCCTTCTCTGAAATCATAGTTTCATCTATGCTGTTTTCTGTGACTTTTGGAATATACCAGCTCTTCTTACACTTCAAGGCCTTTGAACCTCCTATTTCTTACAGTTGGAGTGGTCTTTCCTCAGCTATGGCTCTGACTCACTTCCTCACTGCCTTCATTGAAATGTAACCAACTCAGTGAGATCAATTTCAAGGCCCATTTAGAAATGAGATCCAGCCATAATCCTTCACATTTCCACACTTTCTCGTTCTATGCTTGGTTGACTTTTTGAATAGTATTCATCATAGATGATAGGTAGATACTAGAAAGATGGAGTTGATAGATACAGATATAAGTAGACAGATGATAGATACACAGATAAACAGACAGACATGCACTTATGTGCACCTAACCCACACCCAGATATAAATAAGCACCAAAGAGATAGAGATTTTTGGCAATTCTGTTCATTACAAAGTCCTCAGCATTTAATACAGCACTCAACAAAAGGCTGCAATGAATATTTTAGGAAAAATAATTATAATTTGCTTCTTTTGTGTAGAGTTCATGTTTCATTTTCAATGTGATGATGCAAGGGAGCTTCAAAAATTCATGGCAAACATGTATTATGAGGAACTTAGACATGGTTTTCAAATACTTTTGTAAAAAAAAAAGTTCATTTCTAAATTAATTTTTCTTTAAAAATTTTAAAGTGCCTTCAAAATTAGAAAATCGCGAACATTATTGGAAGTCCCTTCTACTAACCCAGATCTACTAAAGCAGGTTGTTCTCTAATACATAAGTTGGAAATGCAGAGGAGTAGACATTTTCTCTTCCATCACAAGATTTATGACCAAGTATAACACATGTCAGATTAACAAGGAGTAACACGTAACTTTATTTAAGTTTGATATGACATGGAGCCATCATAAATGAAGACCCAAAGACACTTAAAATCTCTTGGTTTTTATGGGTAGTCATGCAGAAATAATATTGGAAGACTAAAGGGTATGACTTAATGGTAACAAATTGAGGAAGGCAGACAACCCAGGAGTTGAGAAGATGCTTAGAATGACCCATCCCATATCCAACTGCCTGGGGTCCATAGCAGCCTTTGACTCCACTTCCAGCTTCCTGCTGATGTGGACACTGGAAGTCAGTGGTGATGGTTTAAGTACTTGGGTTCCTGCCATCCATGTAGGAGAACCATATTGATTTCTGGTGTCTTGGCTTTGGTCTGGCACTGCCACAGCCATTACAGGCATTTGGAGGGTAAACCAGCTAATGATGATCTCTGTCTCACTCTGTCTCTGCCTTTCAACTAAAGAATTACATTTAAAATACAACAAATCAAAAACAAAAAAATAATTAAGGGGGGATTATCAAATCCTGTTTATTCAGATTATTCTTTGCATCTCTGTGTCTTTGTTCCTTTATTCTAGGGATAGGAAGAGTCCATGAGGGATTAAAGACCCATTGTAGAGGAACATCGGAAAATTCTTTCCTGAAAATTCATTTCTACTGGGGAGAATGATGGGAGAAGGTCAGAGAGCTTTCTGCTTCTGGCAGTTCCTCAATTGTCAGTGTGAGTATTTGTGGCAGCTCTCCTGAACCCCATCAGCATATACATTATCATCCTGATTCTTGACTGTGTTGGCATTCAGTTCCATTATTCCTTTCTCCAGTTCTATCTTTTGCCACAGATCTGGACTTAGCTGGGAATATACTACTGTCACATGTACAGTCTTCCCCTCTTGTTCTCACTTCACTGAGCACTTGGAGTAGTAAGATCGCCAGAGATGTAAGGGGTTGATAGGGTAGAGAAAGTGGTGCAAGTCATGGCAACTGGGTTCATGTGGAGTGTGAAGATTTGATAAGGGTGAGACATCTTATACAGGAATCAGCTCTGCTCACATCAGTAAATTAAGATTGTAAAGATGGAACATTATTGTCCCTGTTCTGCCGAATGGCAACCCCACTTGTTAATATGCAATCTCTCTACAATTTATATGAGGACTCTGCAAAATTGATTCAGAGGAACCTCCTTGTGATCTGAGCACAACTGTCAAATGTGTCTCTAGAGTATTTTTTTGCTGGCAGCATCTGCTGCTTTTTGAAGACTTAATGGCTTGAACACAGCCTCCTCTTTTCCTTTCCATTAGTATCATTCACATTTTGAGCAATTAAGTTTCTTGTGATGCCTCTCACAGATGAGTTATGAAGTGATGATGAGCTATGAAGTGATCAATTCAGAGACAGACATTGGAGAGGGGCAAATGCTTGAGAATAAGGAAGATTTATCTCTAGAAACACATCTTATCTACTGTTTCCTATCATTTTTCTCTGCAGAGTGGCAAGATAAGTTTTCACAGCCAAACTGTGAATAAAGATTATTACCCATAAGAACAATACAAGCACAGTTTTATTATAATGCCATATTCATTTATTTTCCATTTGGTTTTTGCAAAATAATATAATAAAGTTGGAGAGTGTCTAGTTCAAGAAAATAGAGATAGCAAAAGAAATTCATATATTTGGTTATCTGAAAAAAACACAATTTTTATTTTTAAATATAACAATTTTATTGGAGAGTAGAGAGAAAACTAGTGCTAAGAAATTTCTTAAGCAAATTTTACAGATGAATGCTATAGGATTATCTAATTTATCTGAATGGAGGGAGGTGGAGGGATGCTGCTATAAATTAAAAGGAAATACTATTACAATTAGATAATAAGTCATATGACATAAATCATATATCTGGGCTTTCTGTTAGGTTTAACAAATACCTGACAAATATATCTAAAACTCACTAATTAGAAAACAAAGAAGTATATCTGGGTATATAATGTAAAGACTCCAGAAATAATAAATCTATTTTGTAAACCATAGCCTGAGTCAGAAGTACTACCTTCTACATGCACATTACATTGTAGTTCAGGGTTCTCTGCATAGGGAGAATTATAATTTAGGGATGTTCCACGTATATCTAAGATGCCATATGTATGTAATATCAGTATAATATAACCACAAAGAAAACAGGCAGAGCTAAAAGGAAAATGAAAATTGCTTAAAAAGACTTAAAAGAAAAAATACTATGATTTGATCCTTGGATTTAAATGTTAGAAACACATTAATTTATGGAACGTAAGTTTTGGAACTAGAGAGAAAATGAATTAAAGGAAGCTCTGTAGGAAGGAAGAATGGCATAAGGAGAGGGCGCATGAAGATGTTCTGGTTCAGTTCAGGGGAGAAAGTATCTGTGAGACGCAAGATCAGGTGATTGTAAGCAGAATCCGATAGCTGTCGAAGAGGAACACAGCCAAAACTTCGCACAGGTTGAGAATGGAGTCTGTGGGATAAGAAAACGAGAATCTTCTTTTAGCAATGCTAGAGCTCCTCTATGTTCCCATGGTCCTTTCAGCCTGACTACCCCCAGGAACTCACCTGAATCAGGAGGCATCCCTTTTCCAACAGACCCTGGAAAAGTCAAATTCAGTGAAGAAAAAAATGGAAAATCTACTTTGGAAATACAAGGTATCAGGCCCGGTGCCATGGCTCACTTGGTTAATTCTCCGCCTGCTGCACGGGCATCGCATATAGGTCCCAAGTTCTAGTCCCAGTTGGGGCGCCGGTTCTGTCCCGGTTGCTCCTCTTCCAGTCCAGCTCTCTGCTGTGGCCCAAAAAGGCAGTGGAGGATGGCCCAAGTGCTTGGGCCCTGCACCAGCATGGGAGACCAGGAGGAAGCACCTGGCTCCTGGCTTCGGATCAACGCAGCACCGGCCATAGTGGCCATTTGCGGGGGTGAACCAATTGAAGGAAGACCTTTCTCTCTGTTTCTCTCTCTCACAGTCTAACTCTGTCTGTCAAATAAAACATTAATATTCAAACTCAAAAAAAAGGAAATACAAGGTGTAATTAATCATTGGAAAATTACTATTCCCTACTTCAGCTTAAATTAATTTATTTCAAATTTGAGATAAATTTGTAAAAAATATATACAGTCAAATAAGCAGAATGATTTTAATTAAAAATTAAGAAAAAGGAAATTGCAAATATGTGAAATAATTCATTGAAATAACGCATATTACACCAATAATTGTGTTTATCTATATGAAAGGGAAGTGAATGAGTTCTATATTAAAAGAAAAATATAGACCAATTGAGTAGTTTGATTGTTAAAGGATTAGTGAATGATGCAGCATACAAAACCTGCAGAGGAATGAGGAACTCTATTCCACATTATTGGTAGTAAGTTTTGTAGTCTAAATAGAATAGAGAAACAGCTTGATTAGTTATCACTAGGTATTTGTCTTATTTAGACTAATAGCATGATCATTGGCTGCCTGTGTGTGAAGCCTGTAATCGTCCAATACTCTTCTCTCTGTTTTTTTTTTAAAGCACTTCTAAGTTAGACTTTGGTTTGTTAGCTTCCTAAATTAGGTTGCAGTCCAATATGTAGAATGTCAAAGCACTGGGCACTCTGTCCAATGGCAGTGTTCAGAAGCTTGGAGCTTGGTAACACTCCCTGTCATCATCATAATGGACTCATTTGGTCACAAGTCCTGAGGTTATGTCAGTTGCATGACTCCTGTTTTTTCCATTCTAGTCAAAGTGAGACTAATGTACACTGGATGGTGGCACACAAATCTTTAAGACTCTTGAGGGGACAGAGTTGACCAGAGAGATGACTGTGATGATTAGCAGGAAGATGATTCCAGGAGATTACAGTGCAATCCTTCACAAGAACGCAACGGAGCTCAACTGATCAAATTGAAAAAAATCAAATCTCCGGCTATGTAAGTAGTTTAACAGTATTTGAGTCTGGTTGGTCACAATCTTTAGGAATTTGTGGTGATTAAGGATTATTATCCACTGTAGAATGATCTGATTTGCCTAGGAATCTTTTCTTAAATTGTTTGTTTGAAAGGCAGAGAGAAAGACACACACACAGAAATCTTCCATCTGGTGGTTTACTCCCCAAAATTCCACAACAGCCAGGGCTAATTCTGGAACTCGATCCAGTGGCAGGGACTCAACCACTTGAGCCATCACCTACTTCCTTCTGGGGTCTGCATAGGGAGAAGTTGGGGTCAGAAACAGAGCTGGGATTGCAGCCCAGTCACTGTGACATAGAATGCAGAGAACCAAGAAGCATCTTACAGCTGCACCAAATGCCCAGCCAAAGAGGCAACCGTGTTGTCATCAGCTTGGAAACACAAGCATAGTGACCTAGACACCTACTTGAGGAAGCCTTAAGCTTAGAAAACTTGGGGGCAAGTTAGCCACCACTTAGAATGCCTTCAAACTGTCATCCAGTATCACAAATACATTGTGTACTCCTTTTCCAAAAAGAATTTCTTCAATGCATTTGTTGGCAATGCCTAAAGAAAAAGTGGCATTACCACCTTTGAATTAAACTTTAAACAATAGCATAATAAGTGGAAAGATACGTGCATTTAGATTTGTTCAGTGCCATATGCAAGTCCCTAGGAAATCTAAAGATGCCTGATAATATTCAGTAACTACTTTTGTTGACACATATGCTGTCATACACCTTCTGGAGGGTGACTTCTACCTATACAAAACCCTAGGAATTCCAGTTAGTCAAAAAGTCTGACTTTCTCTCAATTTATGCATTAGTTTCAAATTCCACACAGTTGGCACCTCATTACCACCAAGAGTGAGCCTTCATTTGGAGTTTTTCTCCAGCTGACATTAGCTTATTTTATCTGTTTCAGGGTTAATGCTAATTTCTACTGATGGTCATTTTGGCTTCTATTTATAGCAAGTATTGTATAGACCAATAGGAGAAGTGATTCAGAAGGCAGGAGGGAATCAAGCTAGAAAATAAGATCCAAACTAGTGGGGAGGCAGAACAAAGCAGGCAAACTCTCCTCAGATCCAATATGGAGCCTCAGGGAATGGAAAAGAGGGCTACATAATAGCATTTGAGCTTAGATCAGTTAAATCTGTCAGCCTATTTCTCAGCACACTTCTTGAAACAAGGTCTGGGAAGAAATTGACTTTTCTGTGGCAGGCTGTAAGGGTGTACAACCACATGTTGTGAAAAGGGACCATGCAGAATTAACCCAGTTATATTATACAAGCAATTACTTGACCCCACATAGATAGCCCCAGGTTTTGGGTTCATGATACTGGGAAGCATAATAAACTTTCCACAAGCATCATCCAGATAGGATTTGGTTAGAGTTTTGTTATCAGCTTAAAAGGTAGGGATATGACTTTCACTGAGTGTAAGAAAGTAAGTGACAGGATTGTGACAGCAAGAAACAAAAGAACAATGAGAAGTTTTTCATGATGGCAGAGAAGGGAAGACTTGGTTGTTGATCTTTGGAACGTTGTACACATCCATGATTCCATCTACTTCTGGGAAAGATTTACCTGGTCAGCTGTACCTTATGACTTCAACAGCGTACATTTTCAAGAGTCCGGATCTGCTTTCTTGAGATGTATGTGATCAAGTTCCCAAGTATTGAAGTTTAATGAGGTAGGGGTTGGTAAGAAACTTTTTAATCAGAATTTATAAGACTGAAAAATATGAATGCTTAAAAAGTTCATGGAAAATCAAATTAAATGATGGTTTTAAAAAGAATTGTTCTATTTACTTGAAAAAGAGAGAGAATAAAAGAGAGAGAGAACGAGAGAGAAATCATCTTGGTTCACTCCCCAAATAGCTGCAATGGCGAGGGCTGGGACAGGCTGAAGCCAAGAACTGTATAACATGATAATATGTTCTTAGTCCATAAGCCTTCCAGTAACTGTTTCATATGGAGTAAATCTATATTTCCCAATGGGAGTGGATCTAATTGCCATCGGGGCCTATAGGAATACCTTTGGCCAAACCAATACAATCAATTCAATTAACTTTTTCAATTTTTAAATGCCATTTGTCCATTTGACCTTTACAGAAGAGTGAGAATAACCGGGATAATGATAATGTCATTATGTTTGTAACACCTTACCTAACTGCTTTATAACTTGTCCATAAAATAGCTTGCCTATCAGTGAAGATTTCTCCAGCAATGTCCCACAAATGAAATACCTTTGTTATTAATTTGGTAACCATTGTCCTAGCACAAGTTTTCCAGCTGGAGAACCTACAAACTATTAAAAGACTGTGTTAAAACCCATTGAAGATGAAAATTGAATGAAACCCATCTGTAAATGCTCAAATCATAGATCATGTAGCAAAAATATACCATCTGCAGTTCCAATTATCTTGCTAGAATTATATGTTTGACAAACAAAACAATTATAACCATTTTTATCAATTTTACAGTGTCACTAAACTAGTTATTTGTATCACTTTGTTCTGTGATGAATTATGGAAAGTAAGCCCTTTAATTTTTAAGCATTTTATCAAAGTACAATATACATCCCAAGAAATGCACGTGAGTGTACAAATGAATGAGGTTTTTGCCATCTGATCACACTCATATCCAGCACTCAAACTAAGAAAGGGTTAATGATACCTCAAGAATTCTAACTATTCTCCACATTTCTATTGTTTTGAACATGTGAAAGTGTATCATCATGTATGTGGTATGATTCAGTGAAACACAATTTATAACTATATATCAAATTATACGACATCCACGTAGTATTTATACTCTCTATATTCACTATTAAAAACAAGAATGCATGTGGTATTTTTCTTTTAGGGTAAGACTTAGTTCACTTAGAGTACTGGTCTCCAGTTGCATCCATTTCACTTTAAATGTCAGGATTTCATTCTTTTACAGCTGAGTAGCATTTCATCATGTATATATACCACATTTTCTTTACCCAATTAGCTGGACATCTAAGTTGGTTCCATATCTTAGCTATTGTGAATGGAGCTGCAATAAACATGGGATTTCAGGTCACTCTTCAATATGCTGCTTCTATTTTGTTTGGATATATTTCCAAGAGTGTGTTGGCTGGGTCATATGGTAGATTTTTTTTTTTTTTTTCAGTTTTAGAAGGGGTCACCATACTATTCTTACATAATAATTGGGCTAGCTATTTTCCACTAGCAGTGCATTAGGGTACCTTGTTCACTACATCCTTGCCAGCAATTGTTACTAATTTTTTTCGATGACAGCCCTTCTTACTAAGGTGAGGTGTGGTTTATATTTGCATTTCCCCGATGGCTAGTGATCCTCAGCATTTTTTCATGTGTCTGTTGGCCCTTTGGATTTCCTCCTTTGAAAAATGTCTGTTCGTATCTTTTTCCCATTTATTGACTTGATTGCTTTTTGTTGTTGTTGAGTTCCTTGAGGTTCTTGTATAGTTTGGATATTAACCCTTTATTGGATGTTTGTGAATATTGTCTTTCTATCTGTTACTTCTTCACTTTGTTGCTTGTTTCCTTTCCTGTGCAGAATCTTCTTAGCTTGATGTAATCCCAGTTATCTATTGTTACTTTTATTGCCTCCGTTTCTGGTGTTTTATCCAAGAAGGCTTTGCCTACACCAGTATCTTAGAGCATTTTTCCTATGCTTCCCTCCAGTAATTTAGTGGTTTTAGGTCTTAGGTTTAGATCCTTGATCCATTGGTGAATTGATTCTTGTATAGGCTATAAAGTATGGTCTTGTTTCATACTTTTGTGTGTGGAAGTTCATCATTTCATAACACTTGTTGAAGAGACTGTCCTTTCTCCAGAGAATGATTTAGCTCATTTATTAAAGATTAGTTGGTGTGGTAGGTTATTTTCTGGGGTTTCTACTCTGTTGCATTGGTTTTAAATGTCTAATTTGTGCCAGTACCAGGCTGTTTGGATTACAACAGCCTATAGTATGCTTTAAAATTGGTATGTGTATTGCCTTTGGCTTTGTTTAAATTTTTTAGACTTGCTTTTGTTTTCCAGGGTGTTTTCTGTTTCCATATGAACATTAGGTATTTTTTCTAGATTATTTGAAGAATTTCCTTTGTGTTTTGATTGGAACCACATTGAATCTGCAAATTGCTTTCGGGTATAGTATGGCATTTTGAAGAAAGGCTAGGTTTACAATCCATGATCATGGAAACCTTGTTTCTATTTGTTTGTGGTCTCTTTATACATTTTCATTAAACATTTTTAACAGTTTTCAGTTTGGAGAGCTTTCACATCCTTTGCTAAATTGATCCCAAGGTATTTAATTGCTTTGTAATGACTGTGAATGAGACTGAACTTGTAACTTCTTTGTCAACCAGAGCACTGTAAGTGTATAAGAATGTTACTGATTTTGTAAGTTGATTTTGTATCCTAAATTTTATCAAATTTTGTTTATGAATTCTAATAGTGGAGTTTTTGATTCCTCAAATAAAGAATTATGTTATCTGAAAATAGGAATATTTTTGTCATCTTTTTTTCCAATTTGTATGCCTTTGATTATTTTTCGACTAATGGATCTGACTAAAACTTCCAGAATTATATTGAATGATAGTGATGCAAAGGGCACCATGTATGGATTTCATTTGTGATTGCCTATCACATTTCAGTACCAGCTTTACTAAACATGAAATTTACCACAATTTTCTGGGTATTCAGTTAGTTCATGTTTTACTTGATAATGGTTTTAAGTCAGTCAGTTTAGTCATTAGAGTTTTGGAATCCTTAGTGCCATGGTTTGATCTTAAAGTTATCAGAAACCTATACTTATGAGAATTCTTTCCTTGAGTCTTTCATAATGAAACACTTTCGGTTATAATTGCTTGCAATAGCTTTCATGCAAGTATCAGAGTAAAATAATTAACTGTCTATGGATGACAAGACTTAAAATGGCCATAATTAAAGGTTTGACGAGAGATCATTATAAGGCAATTGACAAAGAAATTTCATTATTTCTGTGACAGACAATATTTAAGATAACAACTATAATTATGACTGATGGGTTATATTAGAACCATCAGATTTCTAGGAATTTCATGTAATATATAAAGTACATTAACAATGTATCCATACAATGTGAATTAAAGAAGTTTCAGTATACATGTTATTTGACAATGGTTTCCATGCACTTTAACATATCAAATATGCTGAATTATTTTAATCTCCTTCTGCCTCTATTTTTATAAATCAGGGATCCATCTGCAACTCCCTATACCAGTTTGAGGTCAAAAGATTTAACTTACTCTTGATTGGGGAAGTTTATCAATATCAAAAGTTCAAAACACTTGATTAAAATGGCATCACAAATCACTTTAAATAACACTATTCATGTAACCAAAGTGATAATCAAAAGAGACTTCAAAGGCTACAGAAAATTATGTAGCTCATTTTTCACTTTTGTACTTTTTTTAAAGTATACGTGTTAACACACCAAAAAAGGCTAATGATCAATTTATTTATCTTTTAGCCATTTTTACCTTATTTAGTTAAGTAATTAGATTTTGTAAAAAAATAATTAAAAGATAAATTTATTTTGGTGCAAAAAATTGGAAAATATTCATAGATTTTTCACAACATATATTTTCCAATTATTATACAACCCTGTATATGAATCCTTTTGTTTGATTTAGTTTTAAAATGTGCTTGACATACATGAATAAGTGTATTTCTTCTAACAACATTTATTCTTAGGTAGAATGTATAGTTCTGTATTTTTAAACCTCAAAAAAGATGGCATAAACCTACATAACTAATCAACCCAGATATAAATTGTGTGTGCGCATATTTGATGTCCAAAACTCTGAATATAGACCTTCTGATTAAACAGAATTTCACTAGTTTTTATTTACTGAAGATTATCACAGATCATGTAAACTTGAAATATTTTAGTTCATTTCCATCACTTTAACAGTTTAAAGGATAGTTAGTTTATATATGCATATATTTTCTTTGAAGCCAACTAAATGAGGGCTCTAATTTTAACCAATTAACTTTGGCAGTACCACCCAGAGGTGGAACAATGCCACCTACACACCAGCATCGTGTGTTTATAATGAGGAAAAACCCAAGAGTTCTTGTTTAGCACACATGCCAATGGAAACAGGGAGACAATGATTTGAGCTGTGAGGTAAAGGAATTTATCTGAGCTGGCCAAGCCAGGAGCAATGTTGTCTAGCGACCAAAACCCAGGATCTGTCCCTGTCAAAAGAAAATCCCCAAAGCTGAATTGTGTACTTGATTCCCAGGAAACAGTGAACACCAACCACATTGCTCTTTCGTCCTCATCATTTGTGTTTAGATTAAAATTATGCTTTTATGATTTTAAATATCTAAAAGCTTTGATAAGCATCATTTTGCTAGTCATCAACCCCAGACACAAATGGATGTTAATGATCATAAAAAAAAAAAAACCCTTCACTTTCTTTTTACCAACAAATTTACAAATTTATTTGTCAAAGATTTACTTAAGTCACATGAACCAAAAGGCATTTGGACTAATTCAGCAATTTTAATTTATGTAGCACTCATTGATCTGTAAGTCAATTCAAAATACAATTCTTTATGGTATTTTATCATGTAAATATTATATGTAACTATGTAACACATATAACACACACACGTACACATCAATCTTACCTAACTTTGTTGTTCTATATCATCATTAATGGAAAACTAGCCAGGCTTCCACCATTGGCTCCACCCTGCCACGTAGCAGACAGTGAAACAGAGGAGCTACCTAAGGCCGTGCAGCTGGGGCCATGATGAGAGAGGGGGCTATGAAGTCAGTTAAGCGCTCTTAGAATTTCTTTTTATGATTCCATAAAAAGTACACAACTTAACACAGCACAAATCGTAGCAGATGCTAAACAAAGAACAGGCACCAAAGGTCGGAGTACAGTAGAACCAGGGTCCTGGAAGGACTCAGCAAGTGTTCTCACCACCGTGAAACCCAGTCCTGCCTCAAATAGTGAGATTGGGGATTTACCCCAACAGAACCCATAGAGGGTTAGACAGGACCCACATAGGGGCATACAAAGTCAAGGAGGAGATAAAGTGGCCTTTCGAGATTACTCACCTGGAGACATTTTTCTACTGCAAACAAAAGAGAGGGGTAGGGAGGGAGGGAAGGAGGAGGGAAGGAGGAGGACAGAGACAGAGACAGAGACAGAGAGAGAAATACCACTGTACCAGAGGTGAAAGCCTTGGAGAATCACTGAGCTACATGCTTGGCAGCTGCTTTATTCACAGGCTGTGTCCAGCTCTCTGACTGGGGCTGGTGTACCACTGGCAAACATTTAGGAAGGACTTCCTGTTCTGCCAGCAGTGCCATTGTGTTACCAAAGGCATTTGGTGTATTTTTTGTCTTTTGGTGTATTTGTATTTGTAGGCTGGAAGACCAATCACCAAATCCAGGTTATTTTGCAGAGAGAAAGCTATTACAAGGAGATCAGGTAAGGAGTCTGATAAGGGGCCTGGGGAAAGATTTTATGGATTAGGTCGGAAGGGGCTTGTATGTAAAAATGCTGGCAAATCAAGTTCTGAATAGAGGGACTCAGAATCAATCAGGACAGTGTCGATGAAAACAACAGGATCCCATTGACCCTGATGTTCCTTTTAGTAATTCTCCACTACTGCCCTTGCCTTGCTCTTTGTCTAGAAATGGTCACACGCATAGGCTTGGGTTCCACCTCTCTCTCCCACTGCAACACCTCATAGGACTCCACACCTATAGTGATGGCCTCCTCCTGATTACAGTCTTCTTTACCTCGTTTAACATCATGGGTTATATTCTGAAGCAGTAAAAAGCAATTCAATTAGTCATTTATGAGCCAAAGAGTGGGCATTTGCATGGTTTCTGTGTTATGATCTTTTCATAAAGAAAGAATGGGGAATGTATGGATGTTGTCCATGTCCTATAGGAAAAGGGAGGGTTTTATTGCAAGTTTGGGATTCCTTTAAACTTCCTTGTTTTCTAGGAGCAGAAGCAGAGGAGTCACATAAATTCAACTTGTCATGGAATAGCTCCTTCTCTAACAACAAGCCTTGAGATAAGAAAGCAATAGTCATTGTACAAATAAGTTAATTTGTTGGGTTTATGTAAATCTATGGAAGGTCTCTATAAAGCCTAAAATACAAAAGTTAATTATAGTCCTAATATAAACTAAATATCAATTAGTGATTGTCATTGACTGGAAACAGTATTAACCATATTGAATATATTATTATCTAACTTTTTTGTCACAATTTTACAAAGACAGTATTAATATCCATTTTACAGAATAAAATACAGAAGCAAAAAAAGCCATAAGGCAGATGCCTAAAGCCACAGTTTAAACATCAGACTAAATTCTTATTGTTGAAAAGGTGCCTTTTTTGGCTCTGAAATATAAGAAAAAACAAAGTGTTTTTTCTACTCTGACTCACCATTTAAAATAACACTTCCGACATCTGATGTGGAAAAGTACTTCCCCAGTTCCCAATAATTTTCTAGAAAATGCCTGCTGGGAGTCCTATTGCTATAGCTATAGAGACAGATATGTATCCAAGAAAGAGGTGGAGGAAATACCATTCCTGCTAGGGTTGCCGCTCAAACTCATCCCATGAATGGCAACTTGAAATTGCTATTATAGCAAAGCTGCTGCCCAGAAATAGCACCAGCCAAAAATCAACATGGCTATTTACTGTGTCGCACTGACAACTTATAGCCTATTATAATTCCATTATAATAAAATTACCATGGCTGACACTCCCACTCCCATTGTGCCATGAAAATTCCAAGACTTCTTATAAAGGCCAGAAAATGTCCAGTCACCAAATTCCTGGAAATGTTTGTCCATTCCTGAAAGGGTTTACTCCCTCCTAAGTGTGTACTTTCACTTTGCTAGTAAATCTAATTCCTCTGCTAAGCTTTATCTATGTCTTGTCCTTGAGTTCTTTCATATGTCAGAGATAAGAACATGAACCTCTTAAATTCTGAACATTATAACACCTCTTTTTTAAATTTATATAAGTTGAACAAATTTCATGTAGTTCATAGTGATATGAAATACATAGTGATACTTCCACTCTATAACTCCTCTTAATTCCAACACTCAAGACAGAGTCAGATCCCAAAGGTTGAAGGTTCAGTTCCACAAGACCGCTCCCTCCCCATTTCAGATGCCAATCATAAGTAATAGATCATCAGCTATACTCTGACCAACCAGCTACATCAGGGGTCTTTCTGCCTTCCCCTTGGTTCAATTATTTTCTATCAGTCACAGAGATCAGGGAAATACTTTGCTTACATGTAGCAGTTGAATGATAGGGAAGGTAAGAAAGAATAAAAAAGCCAGATAAGCTACACAATGTGAGGTCTAGAAAAGTCCTAAGCACAGAAATTTCTGTCCTTGTGAAGTTGAGATGACCATTGTCCCAGCACAAGGATATGTTTGACAATTGGGAAGCTCTCTGAACCCTTAAATTTGGAGAACTTTATGGAGGTTTTATTTATTTCCAGTGTCTCTTCCCTCTGGAGAAAGGAGAGGGAACTGAATGACCTACTCTTTAATCATGTTATCTCGTTCTGGTGACCAGACCTTAGTCAAGAGCCCACTATGAGTTTTTCATTAGGGAAAAAAAGGTGTCCAGTAAATTCCAAAGGATTTAGGAACTCTGAGTCAAGAACTGGGGTCAAAGGCCAAATATTACAGCAAAGTAATTTTCCTAGTGCCCCCATCTAGTAGGGTATTAGGAATTGTGACTCAGGAGATTGGGCCAGAATAAAATATTGGGATCAAAGATTCTTCTAGCACCCCTATCACTCAGAAAACTACAAAGGTGTTAGGTGATCTGCTCAGGGCTGGAACCAGAGACCAAAATGTATGTATTTCCTATTACTATCTACACTGGCAGTCAAGCTACGTCAAACATTACATTGACCTGTTAGTGAAACTGAACCCCTATACATGGCCTTGAATGCAAATGTTGGATACCACCAGGCCCCTGCCTCTCAGCCTCTCTCCCTTAGTGTAAGGTGTCTTTGTCCTGTGTTGTGTTGCATGTGTGTATTGTTGTTGTGTTGTTTTAACCTTTTTTTTTAATTGCAAGTTGGCCTCTTACTAAATTTAACTTACTGAATTGAGGGAGTACTGCAGCCATCACTGGACATGTGGTCATTTTTTTCTCCAATAATTACCAACTTGATGGCTGGTATGGTCTCAAAGGGTATCTTCTCAGGGAAATTCCAGGCCCATGGCAGGAAGTAATTACCATCTGCATGTTGTCCTCGGAATGGCTAAAGCCCAAACACTGCAGACCAACCAGAAACTTAGGTATGAGCTGAACATCCATTCTCAAGACCCAACTTAAATCTATAAGAAGCTTTGTCCTTCTCCCCACAAGGAGCCTGTGACTTGAGCTACAGCAGCCTGGCTCCTAGTTCTGAACATTGCAATAAGTACCTCCTTTCTCCCAGCATCTCAATGCCAGTGATTTGGCTTTCTGCATGTGGGGCAGACATCTCCAGTCTGGGGGTTCTACAGCAACTCCTCCAACCACTTATAGAGACAGTTCCTTACTATTACCAATTCCTTGGCCAATTGAGGCATGTGGCACACTCACATGCTTTGTGATCAATTTAGCAGGAAGAACTGAGACTCTGACTATATTTCATATAGAGAAGGTTAAAAATGTTTTCCTCTACTTCAGTGGTTATGGCTTACAAATCACATGTAATATGAGACAGATAATAAGAAAAATGAGTTTTAGGTATATATGCACACACAAGAGTTCACAAAGAATGTCCTTCAAGGCGGTGGCCACATGACTGAGGTTTCTAGATAGTCTTGGACTAAGAAAAGGAAAAGGTGTGGGTCCTCTGAGTGGGAAAATCAAGTTTGGGAAAGGAAGGCAGGAAATGAGCAGTAGAGTTGTCTCGTTAGTCAAGCAGAAGCTTTGTGGGCTAGTTACCTCTGGCAGTAGCTCTCTTCTTAGTGTGGCGATCTCTTTACAAATGAAGTTTATGGGGTCTGGAAAGGTAAGTTATTATCTGGGTTGAGTAGTCATTGTATTTCTGGAAAGGGGCAGCACTTCCAGAACTAAGGATCCACCTCTTTTTCTCCCCTTATGTGGTCATTTCTGTAGGTTGTCATGGCAATTGTAACCTGTGATGGCAGGAGGGGGAGAGGTTTTTACTCTGTTAATGCATCACAATGAGGGTATAATGGGACTGGAGGAAAGGTAGTGCATAATCTGGACGCCATTTTGGATTTAACTGATTTGAACCAGTTCTGTTATCTTAATCTTGATTTTGTTCAGCTTACATCCTGGTGGATGGAGCTGAGACTTTCCATATACTATATATCAAAAACACAGGGGCCGGCGCTGTGGCTCACTTTGTTAATCCTCCGCCTGTGGCGCCAGCATCCCATGTGGGTGCCTGGTATTTATCTCCAAATGGTATCTCCAGATGGTATTTCTCTCCAAATTAAAAACACTCTATACTAAAAATATTAATCCGTCAAGTAGGAGAGTTTTACAATTTCAAATAGATCAAAATTGTATACCTACAACAATTGGAAATTAAACAAAAGTTGCAATGTTGTTTTTAAATGGGTGAAATATTGAGTCCTAATGAATGTCAATGCACACAGCACAAGAATGAGATCTAAGGGCCGGCGCCATGGCTCACTTGACTAATCCTCCGCCTGCGGCACCGGCACCCTGGGTTCTAGTCCCGGTTGGGGCACTGGATCCTGTCCCGGCTGCTCCTCTTCCAGTCCAACTCTCTGCTGTGGCCCAAAAAGGCAGTGGAGGATGGCCCAAGTGCTTGGTCCCTGCACCTGCATGGGAGATCAGGAGGAAGCACCTGGCTCCTGGCTGCGGATAGGCGCAGCGCTGGCCATAGCAGCCATTTGGGGAGTGAACCAACATAAGGAAGACCTTTCTCTCTGTCTCTCTCTTTCACTGTCTATGACTCTACCTGTCAAATAATATGTGTGTATATATATATATATCTCAAAATGGTTGCTTATCTTGGAAAATTATCACACTCATTAACTGCTAATAAAATATCAGGAATCATAATAAGATCTTATTATATTTTCATTTATAAATGTCTATGTCTGCGCTACATTACATAAACTGGATTAGCAAATTGCCATGTAAATTTAGGTATGGGTAGAAGCCGTGCAATTTGCATACCAAATTAAGGTATAATGAGAAAGGAACAGATGATGACTGTTTTTCTGTTTTGATTTTAAATGTTTGCAAATGTGTGAGTCTATGTTGCTACTTATTTGTATGTATTTTCAACATATTTAAACTAAGAACTACATTATCATGTGAAGATATCTAGTGAAGGGAACAACAGACTGACTTCTAAAAATGCCATCCTGTTTATACAGTGTAAATATTCAACATGGGTTATTTTGGTCAAAACAGTTGTATTTTAGAAAACACAGCATTGCAATCCTCTTTACCCTGATCTTCGACTTTATTCTTTTTATTCACTTCTATCGTTCTAACTTAGTGTAACCATTCATCCAGTTAAATAAATTGTCAAATCTCTGCTATAGGGCAGCCCCTGTGTTGTTTCCTAGAAAATGTTACAAAAAGAAAGAACATTGCACTCTTATTTATTGGACATTCAATATATTCTAATGAATGTAAATTATAGATGGATAGATGGAGGGATGGATGGATGAGTGGAAGCATCAAGCAAATGTGTTTTTTATGACATCCAGTATACAGCACTGCATTCAGTTTTGCTAGTCATGACAGCAATGTCATCTATCTCCTACAGATCTCTGAATTCCTGTTAGAGGTCTCACCCTTTGCACAAAGCTTTCAAAGCTCCTACAAATTACAACCCCACAATAATATGTTACATAATCACTCACTTATCCAGAGTCTCCTTTTTTTATTCTTTAGGCCTTTATCAAACCACTCTGTTCCTAGAATTTCTCTAGGCCTTTGGGTCCATGTCATTATGGATTAAGAACTCAATGAAAATAGACTTTGGGCAAATAATTTGAAATGTAAAGACTATTTAAAGTTTACAGACTGGCCGGCACCCGGCTCAACAGGCTAATCCTCCGCCTAA